CCAACACCACTCCCACCCATTCACCGTCCTAACAACAGGCCACAAATCTAGAACGGGGGTTTGGCCGGCAAGCAACAACACTAATTGCCTGGCGGGCAAGCGGAAGGCGGCTCCTGCAACAATGCGAAGCAATCCAACAAACAACAGTGGCAACAACAGCTTGTTTTTGTTTTCACAGCGACGACGTTGCTCTCAATGAAGGCCCGAAGCCGTAGGACACACGAGCACATCCCCCGAAATCGTTGAAGGAAAACGGAAAACCGTTTACTACTCCTTCACGTTCCGACAATCTCATAAATAATACCAAAATTTCATTAAGACAAATTATTGTCTATCAATATGTTGCCAGCGTAACGCCACCCCCGACTGACCCACCAGCTCAATACACTAGCCAAAAGGCAGCTCGTTATGTTTACAGTTTATTGGCCAAATTACATTCAGGTTAATGTTTGTCTATTAGCATATCGATGTTTAAATGCATATTCTATTAATCTTATCTATAGTTGATCATAGAATATAAACCATATGAAATATAATATATAAGTTGTTATGCTCTCAATTAAGTTAGTTGTCACTATAGTCACATTGTAGTTGATCAATTTATTGTCTATTCGTGTAGTGAACATAAAATCGTTTATTGACTGCTCCTGCGCTCAATTCATATTCTCGCTCACTACTCGCTATAAGTTACTCCTTTTATCAAATTTAATTAACGTATTTTATTTGAGTAACTGCTTATCTATCAGCTTTTTAACGTCGTAGCTCATCTATGCTTGTCAAGCGCTCAATAATAAAACACTTTACTAACCACTCGTTACTGATTACTCGTTACGATTTTGTTAGGTTGTATATGAGCATTTAATTAATTAATCATACATAYGTTACTATCATATACTTATAGACTGGGCAACTCGTCTACTACTTGTTAATAATTATCTGGAATTCTCAATAGGTAACTCGCTGCTTTTATGAATACGAGCGTTGCGTGTCTGTTGCCGCTTATTCTCCTTCTCCATAACTTGGTATTTGTCTCTCAGTACATAGTCTTTGCTACTTTCCAACTGCCCCCTGAGTAGGCACTCGTACGATATTCAAATCACCTGACTCATTTCATATCGTTTACTTATTATTTACTCATTTACTTTTCAATGCAGCTGATATTAGTATTTATTTGAAACTATTCTTTGTTTCTATCTACTCGATACTTCTTTCTCGTTACTCGTTTATTCATTCAGCTATTTACTTTTCTTAGCTTATTATACTTATTATTTATGTTCATTATTTTAAATTTTTATTTATCATCAATCGTTTCATATTATGATGCATTCCGCCTGACGCTCGTTTCATTCCAGTCGTTACGTCTTTCCCTTTACCTGCTATAAGTCGTATGCTTTGCGTTGCTTTACACTCACTCACTTTACACTCGTTACTTTTCAGTCAAGTCTGCTCCTTCCTCCTCTTGATGCTCTCAATATATAATTATTCTTAACTTTCGTACAATCTCATAGTCAAAAGCCATTTGAACATATTCATATTTAGATGTTATGCTGATTTGCTGGCCTACTCGTTAGTTAATGCTGTCCACTCGCTCAGCCCGCTGCTCATTTGCTGCCCCCCAACTGCTGTCCTGGCAGTGCCCTTCCGCTGGTCGTATTTGTGCTTGTGTGTTTATATAATAATATTTGCGGCTCATAATTGCATAAATTTTTAAATTGAACATTTTGCGCGCACCCTCGCCCTCGCCCTCGCCCACGCCCTCGCCCGTTTGACCGGAGAGCAGACGCCCAACTGAAGCTGGAAACCGAGACCGAAACGGAAACCAACCCGGTTCATTGTGTTGGCTGCTTTGGAATGGTTAGGTTTTGGTTTTAGCTTAAATACGTTTGAAATGAAATTAAACATGCCCGCGGTACCCAACAGCAAATTGAATTACGGCTCGCGCCCCTCTACTCTCTCTTTGTCACGACCTCTCTCTCTCTCTCTCTCTCTTTGTATACATAAGTCACGTGCTTGTTTCGAAACTCTCAAGAGGCCTGTGAATTTCAGTTTGAGATAATCATCCTCGTCCACAGAATGGTGCGTCTCGTGCTCACTCGAGGGTAGCTCTTGGAGGCTCGCTCATGAAAATTTTTTATCTTGTCACAGATTTTTCCAAAACATTTTCCCAACTCAACTTAGCTTGGCTTGCTCAACCGCAGCTACCACTTGACTTCTTCCTAATTGTTATGAGCATACATAAATCCATATACATATACAAATTTATATAGATTTTCCCCAATTTGAGTCTGTCACATAGATGCGACGGCGATTCGATGCGATGCGAYGCTTGGCCTCGTTTGGAGGTGCATCCAATGCGAGTAAATCGGAAAGATTTCAACGCGTTCCACTAGAAATCGAGTGTGAAATTTGATAAGTGGCTGAGCTGTCTGAAGATTACCGCACAGCTGGCCACAGGAACTGCACTGCTCTGCGGCGGATATTTGGAAATTGGAAAAACAATTTGAATTATGAATTACGCGCGGCGTTTTATGTACGTTTTATGACAGACTATTAAGATTTGTTTTGCCCGCAGTGACATAAAAAGGATCGTAAGTTTCGAATTCAGTCGACGTCTATATACAATATTTTGCTGCCTCAGTTCAACTCTCAAGAGTCTGACAGTCTTAAGTATATTGTAGTTGGGTTTTCTGTTGTATTTGGATTGGTTTGCGCTGGGAAAGTGTTTTTATTTAGATGTAAATCATAGATATAGATAAAGCTATGCTCTTTATTTTACTTACTCACGTAACTGGAACGCATAAATCGGCTGTGCACAATCAAAGGAGATATTAAAGCTAGAGACTGCAAATTTGGAATACTCACTCATGTGTAGCCTTGCTTTGAATCTTAAAATTTCTTGCTTAAGTTGATTAGACTTACAATTAAGTTAAGCAGATTCCTATATATATTTAAGGAACTTTTCCTGTATTAAATATCAAATTTTTAGCTTTACTGATTCAATCTTTTGAAATTTCGATATAAAGGCAGCCGCAGTTAAGCTTCAATTTCTTCCCATATACATCACTTACATTGCTTACCAATTTAACATTCTTCCCCCTACAAGTTTCGCCATAAACCTTATCAAACATCCAATTACTCTATCATATAACCAGTCAAAGGCAAAGCTAAGCACTGTTTGGCCTAATGCTTGGGGCTTTGAGCTCCTTCCATGGTCAGCTCCATTTATTATAACTATCACATGCAATGCTCATAAGCCCGGACTTTGGCCCTCTCCTAACTGCGCCCCCCTTTACACCCCCTTCATAAATGAACTGTTTCATGCATTTGTCAGGGCTGGGCTAGGAGGACTTCTTGTCTCACGCTTCGGCACAAAATCGCTTAAGGAGCTGCTGGTCAGTAACTTAGTATTTTATGTGTATGTATAAAGATTATATGGTCACACACACACACACACAGACACATACACACGCATGGCACTAAAGACACTAAGCACGACAAAAAGACATTAAACACGACAACGAAATAAAAAAATATAAGAGAAACAAAACATTGAAATTCCTTATCAGCATTTCCGCTTTTCGTGACCAATGTCTCGACTCTGCGCACGTGCCTCAGTGTGCGTGTGTGTGTGATTGTGTGTGGAAAGGAGTATCAATTTCGCACACACTCACGCACACCTACACACACTCTCTTGGTCCGTGTGGTCATGCAAAGGTTATAGAAATGAAAAAGCCAAGTGGCTTAGGCCAACTTTGTGTGCGCGCACCTGTCATTGGCTTTTCGGTGGTTTCAGTGGTTGACGCCACAAAAAGACACGCCACAAAAGTCAAGTCAAGCAGCCCCGTCCACTGCGCGGTGGGTGGGGCAGTCCGCCTCTCCTGGCCATCCTACATTATTCATAAATATGCAAATCGCCCTGCACTCTGGTTGTGTGTAATAAATTCTGAAGGCTGAAAAAGCTTTTCAGCATTCTTTTTGCCTGAGAACTTAGGATAGGGTATTTTGTTAGACAGCCATGTCTATAGATTTTGGATTGGATTCTATAGAGAAGACTTTATATCGGAAACTACATAATCTACGAATTCTAGAATGTAGATATTTCAAAGCTAAGACATAATTTAAAATTAAATCAATATGGAATCGATAATTATCGATTTTGCGATCTATAAGATTTATAAGAGCTAAAGTCCTCCAGTTTTTTATTCCAGTTTACGTTCGCAATTCCCATCGTTCGAGTATATCCAAGCACTTTCTGGTTCTCTAAGCGGTATCTTCAGGTCGAGCACTTCCCAGTTGGCTACACATTCTTGGTTTTGGCAGCTTGGCAAATCTTTGGACATGTTTAACACTCAATCTGCGCGGCAACTCCCAGGCCGAGGGCAGGCATATGCCGCATTACCTCCGAAACAAATTAAATCGTTTCGCATTCGACTCGAAGCGAGCAAACAGCTCGGGCATAACCAGCAGCCGCAGTAGCAGCAGGAGTAGCAGCAACTGTAAGGAGCAACTGCAAAGGACTATTACTACACACACATGCTCGACGCTCGTTAGGGGCGGTCGATGGTTGGCCGATGTGCGTGGCATGTGGTGGGCGTTGCCACAGCTTTGAGCACACACTCACTCACACACGGGCATATTCAATTGTGCTCGTAATCTATGGAAACCACAAACTCAGCCACACAGCTATACAAACTCTTCTCTCTTTTATCTGCGAGCATACATATGTCTTGGGAAATGTTCGCACACCCTGTAGTATAAGAAATTATAGAATGAGAACTCTGGCTGCCATAGTTTTGACTTGACTTAGTTGGTATTCAAATAAATATTAGGGATATGAATGAAAAACTAAAAGTTAAGACAAGTCATTTGGTATTATAGTATATCATTATAAAAGTATTTAAAATTTAATAAATAACATTATTTAATATTCGAGGTTGATCAAAACATTSTCTTTACAAAATACATCATGAGCTGATCAAAATTGAACTTTCAATAACTTAAAACTTAATTCTTATACATATTACAAATATCTGTAGTCTCTGATGATCTAATTGTTTTTTCTGTCTTACTCTCCCCACATATATAGCGAACAAATCTGTTTAGGGTCGGTCTGCTACTTATTGAATAAAATACAGTAATCTTTAGCCTGATGTGGATTGTCTTTGTAGCGCGAGTGCTGTCCGAAAACTCACGAATTTCTATCATATGCAAGGGTTCTCACAGTTGTTGCAATGGGTATTTCGGAATCAAGTATTCCATACGCATGTGACGTCTTAGCTGGCACTCCGCAAACTCTCTCCAATTGACAAATTCTTTCGTATGACACTCCTCGGATCGGCCCTGTAAATAAAGCTGTCGCCGAAGATCGGTCCAGATTGGCCTATGTTGGAGCAGAGCGCGCCTTTTGGGCATTACATAGCTCATCACTTTGGGAAAGTTATAAATTGTTGACCTGCCCACACACGCGGTCCCCAAATTTCCTCTGTATACAACGGAAAATGTGGATGATAATATTATTCATAATATAATAATATTTATAATGTGGATGATAGTTATTTAAATATATAAATATTACCCAACTACACATTTAAAATTTCTAGACTGTAGCTTTTGTGGTTTACGAGATCGCTGCGTTTATACGGACGGACAACTGTCGGACGGGCGGATGGTCGGATAGATAGACGGACAAACGGATGGACGGACGGATAGATGGACGGTGAGAGAAAGCTAAATCGATTCGCTGCCGTCATCAATAGTAAAGTGACCTCCTGCTTGTTAAGGACATTTCCGCAAGTATCCCACAAAAAATATATATATTACAGTCAAGAACTTTGATTGGTTGATCGTCAATGCTTACAAGGGATAATAGTTTTTAACTGCCTTTGAGTCGACCAAAATACGTTGCAGAGTAACTGCTCCATGTATCTTAAAGCGCGTATCTTGCCAAACACTGCCAAGGGTAAAGCCCCAAATGTGATAGACCCAGTTGCCTTTATAGTTCCTTTTGAAACTCGGCAATGGTAAGCTGAACTTGTGTGGTTCTTCGGTGGTAGATTCGGTCTCCTTGCGTGCTTCTCTTGATACGATCATGGTGGCATTGCTACCATCATCCAGAAGCCGCATAAGCTTTGGATGCTCTTTTGCCTTTTGACCATTCGCCTGACTCTTGTCAATTAAACGGAGTTCGGACTTTCCGTTGATATTGTGAGCAGGGATCCCTCGCGTTGCTACATTCAAATTCGCAGAAAGTGTCGCCTGCAAGAGCTGATTGAATTAACAATACCAACGCAAATCGACGGAGACTTACATTCATGTGGCAAGCGACAATTGCCAGTAAAAATATACCAAAATTTCCATTAGGCATTACAAATATATATGTAAATGTAAACAAAATTTTACAAAAAATTTATATACCTTACTCAACGATCGCTACAAAATCGCAATAAAACCTTTAACAGCATTTAAAAAGCACTCTTCGTTTTCAATTTCATTGACTGCTATGGCTACTCAAACGAGCATATATGACATATATGTACATTTGGCTGGATCAACATTATATTCTATAATTTTTATTCTGGACAGTACTTAGCACATGTGTATACTACATTAAGGCATAGCAGGAAATACGGCCGAAGACGGAGGTAAAAGTTGCAATCCATTTAGACTCTATGCACACACTGACCGACCGATCTGACTTGAGCTGTTCTGGCTGCGTGGTATTAGAATCCGCTGCCCATTTGGTGAATTGGATACATTGGAATAATGGAATCCAGGCGCATATTACGTCTGATTGCGCACTCCTGATACTCCCGCCATGTTTTGAACTTGGCTACGTCGTGGCACTCCTCGGAATTGCCCGACTTATAGATGTGCATGCGCAGCTCGTTCCAAATGGGTCGACTTTTGATTGGGTAACTATAGACCTTACGCACCAGCCAATTCCTGACAATGGGCACATTATATACTGTCGATGCGCTTGCACAGACCGTGGAGAGGGGGCCACTGTTGAGGGAAGAGAGAATTGTTTGAGAAAAAAATACAAAAATAATAAAATTATATTATATATACATAGTTAGAATAATAAAAATAACAAAAATGGATTTTTATCTGGAAAATATCGGATCATAAATTCTACAAATAAACAGGAATGGATTCTCCAATGGATTTCCCCCATATATTTAATTAAAGCAACTTACTCTGGATAGTAGTTTTTCTGGGCATTGGAGTCGATTTTGTTAGCCTGGATGGTCTGTCCGGCGACGAAGCGAGTGTCTTGGCCAATTATTCCATAGGTAACGCCCCACTGGTTGTACACCCAGTTGCCCTTGCTATCTTTGATGAATCGTGGAAGTCCGTTCCGAGAAATTTTAGCACCAGGAGGGACGGCATTACCACCACCGGCGGCAGCGCCTCCTGTGGCAGCACCTCCTGCGGCAGTAGAAGCTTCTGCACCAGCCCCAGCACCAGCACCATCACCACCTCCAGCAGCATCACCATCATCAGCAGCAGTATCGTCTTGCCTCTCTATACCATCCCGATTGAGTTTACCTTCACTAAATCCCAGGACCCCACCGCCACCACCGCCTTGACTTGGTCTAACGCCTGTACCGGTACCTGGACCGGTACCAGGACTGGTAGTCGGACCCTGAGCATTGCTCTCCGTTGTTAAGCTCACCTTTGGGGTCTGCGTTACGACTTTCGCCTTACTGACGGTGTCATTCGTGTGCAGCCCATGGCCTTGGTTTTTATTCCCAAATAAACTCATAACAGTCTTATCGGCTGATTTCTTCTCGGCAACCAAAACTTTTGGAGCCCTATCGCCTCGTGGAAGAGCTGCAGAACAGTTTAGCTGTGCGCCGATCAGGCATCCGACAGCCAAAACAAAAACAAAATTTGGCTTCAACATTTTGGATGCGAAATAAACTAGAAATTTGTGTTTGCTCAAACAGATTCACGCATGAAATGAATTTCTCTTTGATTTGGAAAATAGGAATCGGATGCGAACTCATAGAGTTCGTTTTCAAATATAATCTGTTTAGAAAATAGCTACGAATAGTTGTGCCACGGCAACATACGTAATGCCTACTTTGAAAATATATGAGTGAATCACTTTCGTTCACTTAGTTGCATTTTCGCGAATAGCAGACTTGAATACTTTCGAATGGACTCATAATTAATATGCAGAAACTGTAACGGGTAAAAATCATTAAGTTATATGGAGGAGGAAAGGTACGAGAAAAATAATATGTACTGAGCGAGCTTAACTGAAAGTATACGTAAAAATAGAAATTTTGTTTACTCACTCATGTTGGCAAAAGAGTATATTAGTTTCAGGCAACATCGGTCAAACTTTTCATTCACCTATTAAATATCTTAAAATTATATTTTACTAAGTTACTTGTACATATATAT